ATTAATCAACCGTGCCAAATTCGGTGAAATTTGCTTAATATATCTGGTACTGACGTCGGTTCAAGTAAAATACGCCAGTTTATTTCACCGCCAGACCCCCGTTGCCATGGCAACGGCCACTAGGACCGTCCCCTATGCTTTACTATGGGAGTTCCCCACTGGCCTGAGAACGCGTACCCCCCCCCCTTTTTCTGCCGTAAAAACGGCTTACACTGACTACAAATCACTCAGAACGTGAGACGATACAACAATGATACCCGCTAGCCAGAAAAAGTCGGCTGAAATAGTAAATTTGACCTGAAAAGAAGACCATTAAATGGCCCGTCATTAGGGCCTTGTACGGGACCTAGGCCTACGACAGGTGCCGAAGTGCAAAGTTGCCGAAATCTCAACAACCGTTTGGATTTGTGGAATAAAATTTGGCCAAGTTTCACATCTTGACTAGTTCTATCGTATAAACGAAAAAAACTTCAAGGTCAAGCTTTTTGTGGCCGCACAACACAGTATTTATGGGCGAACCCCGTAGTCAAAAGTAGTCCGGGCACAAAGTAGTGCTGCACAATACTAGAGAAGGGTGCAGAGATTGTTTTGTGCATGGCATCGAGATAGAACCTGTGGTAAATGTTAGAGGAATACGTCAGTTTTGAGACTGCAAAAGTTGAATTATGGTGCGTGTTCAGTCGGCGTAGATTTGCGCTTGGATACTTGTCCCGCCTAGTACTGTGCCTCGGCTGCAGTTCCATGACCTCCGCAGTGGCGCTAATAAAAGAGGGCATGAGAAAAGAACTAGCCGGCAAATCTGAGCTCATTTTCACATATTTTGTACACTATACCCTGAAATTAAACATATCAAAAATCTGAACCTTGCTTGTGCACCCTACTATGATTTTCAGTGAGTCGAAGTGAGTCACTTTGGGGTCCTTAACTATAGAAATCCCCATAGGGCTAATACTGTGTTGTGCCGCCTTGTGTGTGCTTTACCTTTTACAGGGTTCCTTCTCATCCTTTTCTAATCCCCACTTACCTTGTAAACAATTTCGTCATCAATATACTAACAAAAGAACAATAGTTACACCCAAAACAAAATTTCACTTCTTTATGACTTCTCTATGCCCCATGACCTTTAACCTTTTGAGGGTCATGCAGGCGTCAACAGCGCCCTCCCCACGCCTTGCCCACCTACCTACCGAACTACCTACCTACCTACCTACCTACCTACCTACCTACCTACCGAACTACCTACCTACCTACCCTCGCAAATTCACGAGTTGCACATTCCCAGGATCCTTTGCGCCCAGGGTAGGTCACGTGGGCGTCAGGGTAGGGAAAGGTCGCGGTAAACCACGTGACTCATCCTCGGCTCTGGTCGGAAGAAGTCGGAATTGTTCGCGAGCGCTCGGAAATTTCAAAAATGGCTGACACCACTGCCGGCGGCGGGAGGTACGTAGTTTTTCACGGCGTTCGTACGGCGTTCGTACGGCAAAGCGGCATCGAATTTTTGCTCCATGACTATCGGTATGGGATAGGATAGGGTTGATTCAACACACTACGTGAAAATGTGAATGCTCCCAGCCTACTATCGGCCAGATATCGCTTAGGGCACCTTCTTCCGACCAGAGCCGAGGATGAGTCACGTGGTTTACCGAGACCTTTCCCTACCCTGACGCCCACGTGACCTACCCTGGGCGCAAAGGATCCTGGGAATGTGCAACTCGTGAATGCAAGGTGATGTTTCTGCACTTCTCAAAAACTGTGCCACCACTACCCTCACTAAAAATTGACAACTACCCCCTAGTACAAGTTCAAGTAGCTAAACTCCTGGGGCTCCATAGCTGACCTAAAATGAAACACCCAGGTGGACCACATGGCCAAGAAAGGAAGCCAGAGGCTTTTCTCTTGAGAAGACTCAAATCTTTCGGAGTTACTAGAGAAGATCTTGTCACCATATATACAAGTTTTGTCCGAACCACTTGTGAGTACGCTGTCCCAGTTTGGCAACCAGCCATTACACAGTCCCAAAGACGTCAACTGGAAAGAATACAGCGAAGGGCTTTTCGAATCATCCTTGGGCCTGACTACACAACCTATACTGACGCTTGCAACACGCTATGCCTCATGACACTACAGCAAAGACGTGAACACCTTTGTCAGACATTCGCAAGAAGACTACTACAGTCTGAGTCCTACCGGAATTGGCTACCCCCCTTCCGGGGAGACGTCAGTGGTAGAAGAACAAGAAACAGCAGCCTATTGGACACTATTAAAACACGAACTAATCGTTACAGGAATAATCTCATACCCTATCTTGTAACACTCTTCAACAATAATGCAACCAGTATTTGCAGTTTCGATTCAAATATGTTGTAATGCACATATGTTAAGTTTGGGAGAAGAAATTCATTAGATTTTAATTCTTATGTAAAGATCTTTACCTGACCTGAATTATCACCTTGAACGTATTAGATTTTGACGTATGGTCTCAACCATTGCATGATACGAGAATTCATCAATAATTGGAGATTTTGAAAAAATATTTATACGAATACACACAACAAAGTTCAGCTATGCTGGGGAGCTTTCGAGACGTTACACTGTCTCTTCTTCAATTGGAGATTATTTTCTCATAATATGTTTTTTACAACGGCCCTGACTCGAATGTTTCAATGATTGCTAATATTAAATTTCTAGTCCCCCAAAATAGTTCAACCAGCACTATGCAATGCCGAACTAATATGTTTGAATATACACATTTATGACAAGTCATCAATAATAATGTATTAATAATAGGCTTATTGAAATCTGTATGCACGATATGTATTTAACCTCTGACAATGTCTACTCAGAGGTTATCTTTTAATCTGTTAATTTGTAGATTGTATTTTATTAATAATTTATGTATTTCTTTAATAATTTGTAACCCATGTATTTGTCGAATTGTTTTAGCAGTGCAATTCAGTGCGGGTTTACACCAAGCACTGTGAAACTATAATCTTTGAGAAATAAAACCAATCACTACCACTACCTACCGAACTACCTACCTACCGAACGACCTACCTACCTACCTACCGAACGACCTACCTACCTACCTACCGAACGACCTACCTACCTAGACGGAGCGGGCCTACCCAAGTGCGGGCCTACCCAAATCAAGTGCGGGCCTACCCAAATCAAGTGCGGGCCTACCCAAATCAAGTGCGGGCCTACCCAAATCAAGTGCGGGCCTACCCAAATCAAGTGCGGGCCTACCCAAATCAAGTGCGG